TTTGCAGAAGTGAAGAGAACGACACCAGCCTTTGTACTCACTGTTTGTTGATTTTACCAAAACATTTGATACCGTAAACCCCGAGGCATTGTGGCTGGTGTTTGGCAAGTTTGGTTGTCGGCGTAAGTTTGTAAGTTTAATTAAATGTCTGCACAGTAGTATGTGGGCGAGAGTGCAGCTGAGTGGAGAGACTTCGGATGACTTTGCAGTTGTCTCTGGTGTGAAGCAAGGCTGTGTCTTAGCTCTTGCCCAGTTTAATATTTGTCTTCATACCATGATGTCTTGTGCTTACGGTGTTCGTGTTGAGCACCGTATTGATGGTGGTTTGCTGAACATCGGTTGTTTCGGTGCGAGAACCCTAGTCTGTGAGACAACTAACCGTATGCTGCTGTTCGCTGATGGCTGTGCGTTGTTTGAACACAGCGCGGATGAGTTGCAGCACATGGCTAGTGCCCTGGATTCGAAAGCGGCCAAATTCGGACTCACCAACAAAACAAGCAAAACTGTCTGTCTCTTTCAGCCTTCACCGGAGGTGCAATCTGTAATGGTGCCGCGAATTAGCAGTGGTGCTATAATATTGGAAACCACCTCCCCTTCTGCTACCTTAGGAGTGTAGTTTCGACTGATCAGCAAATACACAGTGAACTGCGTATCCGCGTCTCGAACGCAACGGCGGCATTCGGAAGCTTGAGTACCGAGTGTGGAACAACCACCAGCATACCGTTGGTACGAAGCTGATAGTGTACAAGTCCATGGTGTTGTCCGTTCCTCTAACCGGCAGCGAAACGTGGACGATGTGCCGGCGGGACGCGTGATATCTCGAGCGCTTCCATCAACAGTGTTTGCGACGGATTCTACGCAGCGGTTGGTGCGACAGAGTTGCGGACACGGAAGTGTTGCGCCGAAGTGGAATGTATGCAGTGGAAAGCATACTTTTGCTGAGACACCTGAGGTGGCTCGATCATGTGTGACGTACGGATTCGACGCGGATACCGAAGCAGCTTTTATATTGTCAAATGAGTTTGTGGAAGCGGCATGTGGGAAAACCGAAGCTTTGTTACCAGGACATGATCAAAGTGAGCCCGTCACGTTCTAATGTTGATTTCAGATGTTGGGAATCGAAGGCGGTTGAGCGGCATGCATGGCGCGATCTGATCATGAAGGCCGTTGCCGAAGTGCTAGAGAAAGCCCTCGTGCATGCAGAGAAACGGCAGGTGCGGAAGCGACTGTCGCCGATGGGTTGTACGCCATCGGCGTCGAGCGTATGGTGCTGTAGCACATGCGGCCGCGAGTGCCTTAGTCAGACAGGCTTAGTGAGCCATGAGCGAGGCCACTCGGGAGCAGCATCGAAACGACGACGGGTGCTGCTGAGAACGTAAGTAGAATCGGCGCAGTGTTTGTAGGTACACTGCATTCGATTTACTAACCGCATGCTTGCATGCTAAGTCTATTTATTTCCGGTGGTGGGTTTACTATCGTGTTTCAATGCATTTCTTTTACGTCATTTTAACGTTTATCTGAATAATCTATTAACTTGCACACGTCGCTTAAGCTAACTGTGGTTATGTTCGCTAACATTTTTGCGTTGGTGGCATTTTTTTAAAAGATGCATTTTCAGACATTTTGCACTTACCGCGGATTTGTTGATAACCAATTTATTACATATGCTCATTTAGTGTAGATTTATGTATGTGTGCTTATTCGATATATATTATTTGTTATTCTCATTCCAAGTGATTGGCTGTTGTTTGATATCTCCGGTGTGGCAGGTTGACAAGGTGCCTACCTGTCTATTACCCACTACCTCGTCCATACTGGCTCCAGGAGACAGTTGGTCGTTGCTAGAGGGGACAGGGTGCACGGTCCTTGTGGCCGTGCTAGGGTCGAAGAGCGGTTCCATGCACTCAGTGTGGAGCGGACTACGGCCCAGCCACGGCCTTGTGTGCGCTTGATTCCCGAATACAGTGTGCTTGTGTTTGCCTGTGAAGGAGTGTGGGCCGGCTCCGTTGATGAAACATGGTTCCCATCCGCATGCCTCCCGGTCTTATTCCTTCGGGTTTACACTGGATATTGGGTGTGTGGTTGGAGCTGTGGGTGGTGCAGCGCAAGCCACCCATGGTGCCTCTGTAGGCGCAGGCGTCCTGTGGCTTGCCACAGTGACAGGCAAATCCGAAACCGGATGCCGCCAACCATATACGTATGTTGTTTGTGTGTGGTTTCTGCTTATGCTTCCAAGGACGCCTACTGAACACAATACAACGCAGTGCTACCACTTGGAACATCATAGTACTTGTAGTGGGTACGAGTTCACAAGTAGTTCGTCTGAGCTTCTCAGATGGAGTGTTCGCTTGCGGAATCTCACCATGTATGCGTTGAAGTGCTGCTTGGTGAAAGGTTAGTTGATCTAGATTATGCGGACGATATCGTGTTGCTTTTCGACGATGTTGGGGCGGCCAAATCAACCCTGAATAGCCTGTCCAGAGTGGTCCCATTATTTGGTATGCACTTCGCACCTTCAAAGTGCAGTGTTGCTGCAGGACCACCAGCCACTTGATGACCTCTTGACGCTTGCTAACGAGGAACTCGATGTGGTTGATCATTTCACTTATCTTGGCAGCTGCATCAGCAATGATGGGCGCATAGAAACTGACGTCAGCTCACGCATTGCAAAGGCCAGAGATGCCTACTTGAACCTGCGGCATCTTTGGCGACAGAATGGAGTTTCGCTCCGTCTGAAAGGCCGGGTATACAAGGCCACAGTGAGGGCCGTTCTGCTCTATGGTAGTGAGACTTGGCCCCTTTCGGTCTGAAGATCTGAGGCACCTTCAAGTTTTTGATCATCGTTGTCTGCAAAGCATTGCTGGTGTCGGATGGCACCAGCGTGTCCGCAACGATGATGTGCGTAGGCGAGTACTAGGTGGTTATAATCAAGCTAGCTCCCTAGAAGAACAGAGCACTGAATAAGTTGCATTGGCTCGGGCACGTGCTACGTATGCCTTATCACCGTTTACCTAGGAGGGCCTTGTTTAGTGTGCCAGGTGTAGGGTGGCGCAAGGCTCGCGGTGGACAGAAGTTGACTTGGCAGCGGGAAATGAAGTCACTGACGACCAAACTGGGTGCCGTTGGTCCGTCTCGCCGTCCGGGATGGAGTCCACGTGACTCGCCTTGTGCTTGGCTCGAGACTTTACAGGACATCATCATCATCATTCCACGTTAGCTGGAGGTGGAAAACACCTCAGCTATTGTGCCGCAATACAAAAGACAAGAAAAGGGAAACAGTGGCACGCCCGCTGAGTCCCGAGTAACGGATGGACATCGTTCCGGAGAGCTAACAGCTGGCTGCCGTAAAAAGAGAATCATATTATGCCTAACATGTGAGATCGTGATTGGAGGGGGATACTAAACAGGAGGGGGACGGGCAAAGGAAATCACAACACAAACGCCATTGGTGCCGGCTCCTAGCCATATCAGCAAGTGTGTCCAAGCAAACGTGTTCACCGTCCTTAAGACCCCAGCCAGGCAGTCGGGATGCATCAACCGACGCCAACTTCGAAGTGAGGGTTTTCATTTCTCTCGACCAAGTCATCACTTGGCCTCCCCTCCTCCTCTTCCAACCGCACCCACAACGTGCAAACAATGCACGTCGCGGGAGTCGGTGTGCTGGCATGCGCAACACGTGGCCCAGCCATCGGAGCCTGGTGCGTGATATAATGGTGCTGAGCGGTTCACTCGCTCTTCCTGCACCAAATACGCGACGTCGAACACGCTCATTGCTCACGCGGTGTTCCCACCAGGTATGAGCTAAGCTGCGAAGGCAGCGATGATCGAATGTGACGAGTCTCTTCATGTCTGTCGACCTGATGGGCCAGGTTTCACAACCATATAAGAGAGTAGAACGGACGGCTGCGTTGTAAACTCTGCCCTTGAGGGCGAGAGTAATGTCGCGTCTGCGCCACAGGTGGCGGAGATTGGCAAAAGCACCTCGAGCTTTTGCTATGCTGTTCGTAACCTCATCTTCAATCCCACTGGTGCTAATATAGCTGCCCAGGTACTTGAATTCCTGAACGACTTCTAGCAGATCACCACCAAGCGTTAGCGCAGGATTGGGTCCCTGCCAATCTTGGAGAAGTACTTTGCATTTCGATGGAGCAAAGCATAGCCCAAAACGATTGACAGGCAGTGCTAATCGGTCCAGTGCTCTTTGGCATGTTTGGAGGCTGTCACAGATTAGGGCAATATCGTCCTTTACAGGACATGGCTCGCAGTAGACAGCGGTGGCGCGTCTGCTGCCGTCTCCTAATTGGATTGCCTGTTTAAAGTGTGTGTTGGTGCTGAGTTTTATCTGCGGGGTAATGGCTGATTATGATGCGTGGCAGTGAAAGCCGCAAGGAAGCTGTCTCGCCGATGCCGCCTTATCTTTGCACGATAGCCAGCTGTTTGTGACGATATGTTGTTAACACAAGGTGTAGGCGCCTTGACCCTGAATGTTTGCTTAGGGCATTAATGTTTTCAGGTAAGTCCCCTTTCTCTCCTTATTCTTTATTTCATAGGTCATCATGGTTGTATGGCAGCGAAGCATCAGTTCAAATGGCTGATGTACTACTGTTGATGATGAGCTCCTCAGAAACTCAGCTAGATGATACTTATGGTCTTGACTTCGGCCGTACGGACATCGGCGAACGTTTTTTGCAATTGTGTGCGGAGCACCATTGGTTTCTTCCTAGCTCTGCTTTCAGACAGTGGGCGGTGAAGTCACTTGGCGTCCTCCTGTGGCTCGCTATTGATGGACCCAAATAGATCACATTGTCATAAGTTACACGTGGCGTTGTTCCATCCTGGATTGCTACTTTTTCTGGAGTACTTGCGTCGACTCTGATCATGCCTTGTTACGCTGTCGCTTTTCCATGAACTTTTCCGGGAGGTGCATATGATGTTCTGAATCGGAAAATAATTGAACTCCACCCAAACTAGTCACGACTCGGAATAAGAACACCAGAATTGGAATTCGAATTTCGCGGGTGTATATTCTACATCAAAAAAGGTGAAAAGAATAACAATAAACAATCACTGAGTGTTGTTTGTACAATTATCACATCCTCCGCAGCTTGAATGCAACTCCAGGTTCCTGTAATTCAGCTGTGGTTTCTGTTGCAATCTGGCAGATCTTCTTGGAGGCTGATTTTGCTCAGAATACTCATGAGGATCTGAAACTGAATCGACATTAGTATTTTCAGTGCACACTGAATTGAATGACAACTGACCGGAATCCTTGTATCGTATCTGGTCAACATGCCGTCTGTGTACAGAACAATCATCAAGATCCAAAATTCTAACCATGCGGTTTCCAATGTTGTTAACAATGATACCAGATGAGGGACGTAAATCATTGCCCCTGAAATAAGATACTTCAGCAGTCCCCAAGCCAAGCATGTTTGACCTCAATGGTCTGGATTTACAAAGTTTGGCAGGTGTATCTCCAGTAGAGGAATGCACGCAATTACGGTATTGAAGAAGGAAGTTATCAACACAACGATCAAGTTCATCAAAAGAAGTAGGAACATAGGAGGTAATAGAACGTTTTAAGGTTGCAAAAAAGTTTTCCGCTAGGCCATTAGAACATGGATGTCGTGGAGCGGTAAAAAGGTGGCGACACCCAAGGCTCTGTAGCCAATTAGTAACCTCTGAGGCCGAAAAGTGCGAACCATTGTCACTTACCACAGCTAATGGGACTCCTTCTCTACTAAACACTTTTCTCAAGGCACGGACAGTAAAAGCAGAATTTGGTTTATCAGTCAGGAATACCTCCGGCCACTTTGAATAAGAATCCACTACCACAAGAGCATGGTGCTTCTGCAGAAATGGTCCACAATAATCCATATGTACCCTTTGCCAGGGCTCGCATGTCATCGGCCATGGTGTCCACTTTGACGGTTGCCGTAAAATTTTGTGTTTACAGTTCGGGCAATCAGAAGCAGTTCGTCGAATATCTGCATTTAATTCAGGCCACCAGCACAAGCATCGAGCTAAAGACTTCATCTTTTCAACACCAAGATGACCGGAATGTAAATCCGTTAGAATAGCTGATCTCAATGTCGGCGGGATAACAATGCGGTCATTTACACATAGTAATCCATCAGGTGTAACACACAATTCATCACGACGCACATAAAATTGTGGGAACTTCCGTTTGAGAGAAACCGACCAACCACGTTTGACAGCAGAAATCAATGACCCATAATACCTTCTAGTATCATTGATAAGGGCAGAACGAGAGATTGGAAGCGGCTGGGTGAGTAAACAACTCATTTCAGAATCGGTTTCAAATATCGTTGCAGTACCTGATAAGTAGTCGACGTGAGGAATGAGCTTCGCACTTCTGTGCTCGATCACATAGTTATACGCACTAAGGGCAACACTCCACCTTTGGACTATGGCTGCTGAAGACTTAGCTAAAGAACTGGAAGGATTGTAAATGAACTTCAGAGCTTCATGATCTGTCACAATGGTAAATCTGAGGCCAAACAAGTATTTGTGAAGTCTAGTGACTGCCCAGTATACAGCCAAAGCTTCTCGATAAGTCTGAGCATATCCTTTTTCAGCATGGCTTAGTCGACGGGAAATACACAGAACGGGGTGTCCATTCTGCTCTAACACAGCCCCAATACCAGTGGGTGAAGCGTCTGTGAAAAGCACAGTAGTTAATTTAGGAGAAAAGGTGTGAAGAACACAACCAGATGCAAGAATTTTTAAAAGCTTCCGAAGAACATGTTCATGTCTGTCTAACCAAACAAAACTCTTGTCATTCAACAAGGTGAATAAAGGATCAGCAATGGATGCAAAACCAGGAATGAATTTGGAATAGTACTGTAAAGCGCCCATCAGTGATCGAAGCTCATGAACATTGGTGGGGGACTTCACATCAACCAATTGTTTTATCCGATCAGGATCTGGTTTGAATCCTTCAGATGTAACCTGATAACCAAGACAACTGATTTCATGGACACCAATTAAGCACTTCTTAGGATTGATATTCACATTAGCATCCTTGAAGCGAGTCAAAAGTGCCAGTAATCGGTAGTCATGTGTCGGTTTGTTAATAGCATGTACAAAAACATCGTCTTGATAGACCTCAACACCCTTCAGATCTTTCACAATGGAGTTCATCACATCTTGGAATATGGCTGGCGACACATTAAGACCAAAGGGAAGAAATCTATAGCGATACAACCCAAAAGGTGTATTGATTGGGGTCAGTTCACTAGACTCATCAGTCAGTGGTATCTGCAGATATGCATCTTTTAAGTCTAGCCTCGAGAAAATCTTGGATCCGTGTAGACGCGAGAGAATAGAATCAGGTTCTTCCGTGACACAACTACGCTGCAGCAGCTTCGTATTAAGATTGACACGGTAATCACCACAAACTCTCGGTGTCTGTCCATCCGGCGTTAACGGTGTGACAATAGGTGTGGCCCATCGTGAACTTTGTACTGGGACGAGAATTCCTGATTCACAAAGAGACATAAGTACCTTTCGAACAGGTTCTCTAAGTCCAAATGGAAGTACACGTCGTTTACAGAAAACTGGATCACCGGCCACTTCCAACTTAACAGGCGGAATTCTCATTCCACCAGAGGTAACCGAACAATCATGTAATAAATCACGAATTTGGGTGTCAGTATCAGTATGTGACAGAAAATTGACACTTATTTTAAGTGCCTGCATAACTTTAAGACCGAGTATGGACGGGCCTTGACGAATGACAACAAATTTACACTCGACAGGTTTCAAATGCTTATCTAGCACTGGTAAGGTACAACATCCTATCACCGGAATGGTATGACCAGTAATACCTTTAATAGTAATGAGCGTGGAATCAAGCTGAGCGTCAGGGTACAGATGATCGAGACTAGTTTTAGAAATAAGAGACTCTACGCTACCGGTGTCAACAATGAAACGATGTGACATACCATTTTCGAAACGTAAAGTGTTGTATAAATGGCCACTCGTATTCACAGCCAATGTCAGCGAATGAAAATCGTCGGGCAAGTTCTCTGTGGAATCATCAACTTGTTTCACAACATTACAACGTCTGAACTGGCGACAAACACTACGAATATGTCCAACTTTCCCACAGTGATGACATTTGGAATTCCGATGCGGGCAGGTATACCGTGAATGCAACTTTCCACAAGAGACACATTGTCCAATCTTTCTATCAGCTTGACCACATTTTAAACTGTCTGAATTTCTCGGTGCATGAGATAGACTAATTCCGTGTGGTTTGAAAGAGTTGATTTGCCACGGTTTTCTCTTCTCGGCATGAACTCGGCGACTGGCTGAGCCAAACAAGACTTGATGATCAACAGTCGTCTGGCTTCTTGTAATATCAGAAACATCCTGATAATGCAAACAGATGGATTTCACGTGATTGTAAGTCGGCGATGGAAGTGATAGGAGCTGACGATATAAATCGGGATTATTTATTCCACCAATTAGGCGATCTCTGAGGCATTCATCAAGTTTGTCTCTAAATGCACAAGATGATGCTTGAGATTGAAGTTGGAGAATAAAATCACGAATAGACTTAAATCTGTGAAACTTGTGGAATGCATGAAAGTAAATGACAATTGATGCTCTCTCTGGACGTTGAGTTACTTTTTACGAATGTTCCATTGGTGGAGACTGTCAATTTTGTATGTGGTTACGTGAATGAAAAAATATAGCTGTGGGTATTCCGGTGAGGAAACTGGAGTAACCAATTTTGCAGTGTACCTTCAACCGACACCTTTCATTTAACGAAGTCTACTACAGACAGTTTGACTGTGTCGCGATGGCGTCCTCCCTAGGACCACTCCTTTACTGATATTTTCCTCGCTGTGATTGAGCGTGAAGCTATACGACCCATCATCGCTTCGTTCGATTTCTATTGTCGTTATATGGATGATACGTTGGTAATCTGCGTTCCAAACACCGGTGTTTCCAACCCGTTAAATTAGTTAAACGGTCTTCATCCATCGTCGAAGTGCACGATCGAAACCGAAAGAGATGATAAGCTAGAAATCCGTGAGAATAATTGTAGCTCGGGATGCGGATGAGGGTATGCGGGTGTTCTCCGAGCTGGGTGCTTTGGCTGCAAACGTTTCATCGTCAGGCTAGACGGCATCATCAGTGCGATTTATGCGGGCTACTTACAGATCCAAGTGATTATTGCTCGCTTGCTTCGAATGTCGGGAGTCGATTGGTCCACGTGAACTGACCTTGTAATCAGCTCTTGCGTACTGAGGGTATGCCCTCATCCGCATCTCGAGCTAAAAATATTCTCACGCATTTGTAATGAATTCGGGTGCGACGCGGTCAAGTCTGCTCGTCAATGGGAGACCCATACCAGCCGACTATCTTCCACTCAGGGGCAACTCTACTTCCTTCATGAATGCTTGAGAAGACAAGTTCTGCCACCAAGTATACAGTACCGTCCACCAATAAACAATCCTTTGGCCTGGAAACTCACCGAAGAACACGGACGACGCATGTCACGTATGCTGATAACCGACGCACATAACCGAAGGCAAAAATCTCTCTGAACGGTTGACTTCCAAAAGGAGTTGTGCTTATCCATCCTCGGCACAGAATTGACTAAAGAGCTTGAAAAGGCGATATCCATAAAAACGCACAACACCATGCTCCACACAAAGCAGAAACTGGAAAAGAAACTAGAGAGAATTTCAAAACCTAGAGCAGTGAATCAAGATGATGCATAGATTAGGAATTTATCCAAACGAATCCTGTCGGATGTAGAAAAAGCAGTAGTTGTTCGTGGCATGCAATGCAACTACAAAGACTTCAATCCCGCCAATTTCCTCGCAGAGCTTGAGACAACACTGAGCTCATGCAACATCACAACTGACGCCAAACAGACGATCAGGCACAGTATCATTCCAGCACTGAGGCACAAGAGTGAAACCAACATGTTCAATACAACTAAACAAAAAACGTTGAAAAATCTTAGGAAAGCTAAAGATATTTTTATCTTACCGGCTGCTGAAGGAAGTCTTACTGTTGTAGTGGACAAAGCTGATTATACGAAGAAAGCGCAACGACTTCTCCATGATGTGTACACCTACCAACCGGTTGACGCAGATTCAACAAAACGATTGGAAAGCAAAATCAAACGCACCCTACAAAATCTGGAACACATGGGACAGATTACAAAATTAAAACACAGCAACATGAAACCAGAGGATTCGGCGCTACCGCGATTCTACAGCCTGCCAATAGTTCACAAAAGTAGAGTCCCCCTTCGCTCTATCATGTCGTTACCTGGAGCTCCGAATTACAAACTTTCAAATGAACTCTGGAACAGATTGAAACACCTGATCTCTGGCTTGGAACATTCCATACAATCTGCAAAATAATTCCTAGCTAAGCTCAGGGAAACAGCCATAGTAGAGAACGAAATCATAGTTTCCTTTGATGTAACATCTTTGTTCACTTCAATCAACACCAATCTGGCGAAGCAAACGATGGCAACACTACTAGACCAACGCGGATCCTCCGACACAAACAATAAAACAGATGTCATCCACATGATAGAGTTGTTGCATTTGTGTCTCACGACACAGTTCAGTTTCAACGGCCAAACCTACGAACAAATAACAGGCACGCCAATGGATTCACCTATGTCTGAACTTGTGGTCTAAGTGGTGATGCATGCATTGGAAGAAACCGCACTCCCGGTCGCATAACCTAAACTTTGGCTACGCTACGTGGACGATACTTTTGTCGTCCTAAAGCGCTTGAAACTGGAAGAAACACATCAGCCAATAAACAACACGTTTGCTGGTATCCGTTTCAGTAAAGAAGAGGAGAGAAATTGCCAGTTACCATTCTTGGACGTTTTAGTAAAAAGACATGCTGCTGGACAACTGGAGACAACAGTTTATCGGAAAGTGACGAATACAGATCAAATCCTGAATTATCGCAGCAATCATCCAACAGTCTACAAGCGCAGCTGCGTAACAAATCTAGTTAAAAGAGCTCAGACACATTGCAGCACCCCGCAGCTGAGGAAAGCGGAGGAAGGTCATCTGTTCGAAATGTACACACGAAATGAGTATCCCAGGAATTTCATTCTACGTTGTTTAACATCAATAAAACGACTGACGCATAACAAACATCAGCAACGGATAAAAGAACAATCATTCTAGCATACATCGACGGCGTCTCTGAGATGGCGGTGAGACTGCTACTACCTTTCGGAATCAGAGTTGCTCACAAGCGGATAGAAACTATCCTAGACAAGTTGTTCAGTGGTAAGGACCGGCTTGGCAAAGAAGAAACAAGTGGTGTGATTTACAAAATCCATTGCAAAAATTGTAACAAATTCTATGTAGGCCAGACAGGAAGAAAGCTTGGCACTGGGCTACATGAGCATAGCCTAGCCATCCGCAGACATGACCAGAACTCCCTCATTTCGGTGCATATGGACGCCGAGAATCATCAGTTTGCTTTGGAGAATGTCAGGCTCATAGGCAAGGCAAAAGGTCGAAAAGCACGCTAGTTCATCGAGGCTTGTTACTCGGAGAAAAACTCAAGCAACAAACACTTAGGTCTAGATAATGCATATGAAGCACTGAGGATCAAATCAACACTTCGCCCCAGATCAACGAGACAAAGGAACGTCATTGAGGCGGACTTGCCAACGGTACGCAAGAGCTGATTACACGGTCGGTTCACGTGGACCAATCGACTCCTGACGTTCGAATCAAGTGATCAGTAATCACTTGGATCTGTAAGTGGCCCGCATAAATCGCATTGATGATGTCGTCTAGCCTGACGATGAAACGTTTGCAGCCGAATCAGCCAGCCCGGAGAACACCCGCATACCCTCAGATAGTAAGCTAGCCTTCTTGGACGTGTTGCTAAGTCGAAGAAATGACAGTTCATTGGAAAGAAGTGTATTCCGGAAGGCCACATGGATAGGCAAATATACACATTTTCTTAGCTTTGTACCCTTGAACTACAACCGTAATCTTGTTCGCTGCTGCTACGAAAATTTGCAGCCGAAACGCTAGAGGTCAAAACGATTCTTATTCTCAAAACGCTGCATGATAACGGTTACCAGACACCATTCATCAAAAATTATGCTGTGATGCGGGATAGTGGTGAAATGATCACTACTGTCCCTAAGAAGGACGTGTTCCTATCAGTTCCCTTTAAAAGCAATGTTGCCTTTGCTCTGTTGACTAGAAGAATTTCCATTGCATTGGCTCAAACCTTCCCGACCGCTTGTCCACAAGTCCTTGCGGAAACCGCTCCTCTTATAGCTCAACGCGTTAAAGACACACTTCCGGTTCAGCCCAATCTTATATCATTTTACCTGCGCCTGTGGTGCGAGGTACGTGGGACACACAACTAGGCGTTTGTCTAAGCGCATTGCGGAACACTGCCCAGCGGCTTTGCGAAAAGGCATCGTCAGTCGCCCCAACAGTTCCAGACTCGAACATCTAGTGGAAAGCGGACACCAAATTAGAACCGCTGCTGCCTTCCAAGTACTTTATGTAGTACAGCAACAGTACACTACATGTCTTAGGAAGCAAATCTTACGGACGGCCGAAGCGATCGCATTTAGGATAATTCAACCGGAATTATGCAAACAGAAGGCTTTGCTGCAAGGGCTTCTTCTACTTTGGCCCAGTTAGCTTACCAACTTTTATCACTTCTTGCGCCCACAGTGATCGGATGATGCGCTTGGCATTCCACCAATCAACCAACATGTGCTTCGTCACATGTGTTGTTAGTCGACTTTATTGATCAAGACTTTTGAGTTTCTGTTTGTAGCGATTCCACTATTCCCACCTCTTTGACTTCTTTAGCTATTTATGCTCTGCCCTTCCATTTTATAATTGTAAATGCCTGGAGAGATTTGTCGAAAAGAGTACTTTTCGCAAAATTGTGTTCTTGTATTTCCATGGGTATAATTTACGAGTTAAATAAGAGCAATACTTGTTTGCTTTTTGTTCAACAGATACTCCTATTCTAGTGAACTTTTATTTCTAGTTGCGTTCTTCCTACTTATTTTCATACATCTCTATTATGCACTTCATTGCTCCAATCGTGATTGTCTAATTTAGCTAAACTGACTTCAAATCTCTACTCCGAGCTGCATGACATCGGATTATTTCTTAAGTACTTTGATACCGAACTGATCTTTTTCATCATTTTCGTATAGCTATTTGTAGTGTTGCATGTGATATACCTGCGAATTTCCTATCTCTCTTGAGATACTCGTTCACACTTTGCACATCCGTAGTAATAAACATGTTTGCGCTGTGACTTGATCCGGCTATACATTCTCCTGCTTTCAGCCTGTCTGGATTTGTATCTCCATTCGGACCTGTGTTCACTAGACTGCATCAGTTAAAAATCACTCAGAATGTCGTTTGTACCAAATTTTCCTCCGTCCCTACTGCAAAAAATAAAGGGAGATGATGCCGGAGATGAGAAAAAGAGAAGCAAAGAGGATTTCAAGAAAATGAAAGAGCTTGAAGAAGCCAGAAAGTTGGCCGTCATGCCTGCGATGAAGGATGAAGAAGGTCGCGATATAAACCCTCATATCCCTCAATACATTATGCAAGCTCCTTGGTACTATGGGGCTATGCATCCTACTCTCCGTCATCAACGAATGCGGGATGACGCTAAGAGTGGAATATCGGGAAGCATGAAGGGTTCTGCTAGCCTCAACGTTTGTCATAATAAAGGTGTCATCGAGAAAAAGGTTCACAAATACCGTGACGGGGCTTGCGAGAACTGTGGATCTATGTCTCATAATAGAAAAAACTGCTTGGAAAGACCTCGTAAGGTTAGTAGCATTAGTTGAACTCGTTGTACGCATTCACTCGATCGAAGTCTTTTCTCTCGGTCATTATCATTCTCATAATCAACAGCAATACAGTAAGTTGCACCGGTGCCTCCTTGCCGTACATTCATAAGCACTTATGAAATGAAGAATTTTAAGAATAAGAAGAGGAACCTAGTATAAAAAACCAACGCCATTAGTAGGGTCAAGCCGCCTACATTCTATCAACAATATGGTCTGCAAACGGTTGCTCCTCCTGATAGGGTAAGGCGGCATTGGCGAGACATCATTTTTGCGACCTTCATTATTAGTCATGATCAGCCTTATCTTACAGCGAACAGCTAACATCTTACAGCTAACTCCCGACTAGAAGATGGAAGCTAACTTGCGGCTACTTCCTGCTGCGATTCATGGTCCTTAATCTCTCAAGCCAAACACAAGGCGGGTAACAATCGGTATATTCTGGATAGCGGGACGGACAAACAACACCCGATCTAACCACCATTGTCTTTATTTCAGGCTGCTACTACAACTTTTGCCCCCCTCTGGTTTTGCGTTATCCATTGTCCGGCAACCAAAACAAAGCCGTCCCCAGCAAACGATGCTCTGGCCCACTTGACATATACCTAGGCCGGCGCAACTTATTCGGTATTGTTTCTTCCTTTAAGACACTAGAAGGTTATAACCGTTTAGTACTGGCCTACACACATCATCCTTGGTGATGTTCTACACCAGAGATGCTCCGCAAACAACGATGCTTAGCGTGTTGAACGCGCCTCAGACCGAAGGAGGCAAATCCCACTCCATAGAGTGAAGCAGGCCCCACTATTGTCATGTTTACTCGGTTTTCAGATCGACTGGAATTCTCTTCTGGTGTCACATATTGCATAGGTTCAGAGCGCATTTACAGCTTCCGAGTGTGTACGGAAGGGTAAAATCTCCCAGCAAAACTCCTTATTTCAGTGCGAAAACGTATTGAGTCAATGTTGTACAACTGAAACATCGAGTCATTTCAGGAACCGCGTATACACGACATGAATACCCACTCGTTAGCTAGGGAAACTGATCTACCAATCAGCACAACTGACTTAACTGTTCTGATGTGTGAACCTTCTTTGGTTAACTTATAAATGTCCGTTGATTTCACACACTTCTTGTTTCCATTTCGGAAACTGCCTCTACAACACGCTTTGGCCACCAAGCGTTGACTTCTAATTTTGACTTGGATTCGGATCTAGCAAAGGACAAGTTCAGTTCAACCAGAATCACATACCTAGAGGCAGATCTAACACAGTGCATGATGCAACTTCTCAGTCACGCGCCTCTCGCTGCTAATACTGTTGCTTAGATAGGTGAATTGATCAAATCTGGTTGTCCTCTGGTTCTTTTCCAACTTCAATTCTTCTATAATTAGAGAATCATTAAGGAAGTAGTTATGCTGCAATAGCGCCATGCTTTGAAAGTAGAAGTCTACACCGACTGATGGTATTGTTCTCATTGTAGGTGTATACCAATGCACTGTACAACGGCTGCATTGGGATACCGTAAGGAAACATTCTATTATGGGGTACACGACAAAAATTAACGAAAATGGGGACACTGTACAGCTTTGTTGGATACCAACTTCTTATGCAAAGACGAGCGACGACTCTAAAACCACCTGCGGTATTTGAGTGCATGGCACGCAAAATGTTCACGTATTCTATTTGATCACCTTTTTCGCGCAAGTATTCCGAATAGAACGGGCCGGTTGACAGTCAAGCACATGCTGAAGGTCGAGGAACAATTTCTTGTCGACCTGTGGTACCGAGTGATGCTGCTTTAATGTCCGCCGCATGGTAAATTATAGTTTATATAACTCCGGCCCGGTCATCCCTCGACGTCGTTTCCCGTTCCCTAGTAATGCGACGGACGAGAATTGAGGCCACTAACTTGACTGCTCCCTACATTATGCTGGACTTTTCGTTAGCACAAACGGTACGGACTCCAGTTTTATATGTTGCTGCGGTGTTCACTTAAATTGTCTCAGCTCTATCCATTTGAGCAGGTTGATCAATGATTTGCAGAAAACCTCACCATCATCAATAGTGCAGACTCGAAAGTACTCGGACAGTCAGCACGAAGACGCTTGAGGGCGGTGGTGGCGTTTTTTACCTTAGCTTTACTGTTTCCGCCTACTCGACCTGGTTTTCTTGTCAACATGCAGGCTCCGTTTTAGCTTACGCCTAACGATCTCGTGTGTTACATTGCTCACGGTGCCGACAGGGTTGCCCCTAATAGTTTCATTGACTTTCTGGATATCTGATGTGATGACCACTGTCACTGAAACACGATATCCTTAGGATGAAAGCGTTGAAGTTTGTATGCAAGGGTTCTTAGTAGGTTCGCGTGGTTGTGGAAGTGTTTCATACGCCTTCCAGCTAAGTTCACAAAAATCGGCGCAATGCTATGGCATGAATAAAGTCTACACACATGTTCTAGATCGAACTGTGCCTAAGGATAGAACTACGCCACTTAAAAATTATGGTGAAGTCATATATTTTGGTCCATCACAACTCGCGGATGGACATTCACTGTCCCTGAAGACGGGACTGCTAAAAAACAATTACAGCTTAGTGCCCGGTTACAATTTCTTTCGTACAGAGTTTTGCTTAAGCGTCCTAGCTAGCTTGGCCTAGAAGGATCTCGGATGATTCATTTGCGCATTCATATCCCTTGTAATCTTAACTGGTTGCCATGGGAAATGGCTGTCCTAATAGGAAATGTCTTTGGCAGCATCGCGACTTCGGTCACTGGAGCCCTAAGGGGGTGATCTCCAGCAAACGTTGTCTAGTACTATTAAGTGCGCATATATATATATATATATATATATATATATGCATTAGTCTATAAAGTAGACATCGAGCCGTCTAACATCATAGAACTTTAAATGAGAACAAGAATATGTACAGCAATGTCAAAAAGTGATGAGGAAACAAAAGGGACAATTTTTTTTTGCCTTTTTCACACACCGCTTTTTCACTTTTAATAATTTAGTACTTGTGAAACCGCGAGTTTGCGCTGACTTGTGCGCATTGTTTCCAATGCAACCGGTTTTGTGTCATTATTTCGAGTGTTGTTAGATACCGGCACTCTTCATCTTTTGGTCCCCAACCGGGAAGGCGTACCGCACCAGCAATTGATAGACAGGATGTCAACAATTTGATCTTTTTCGCCAGCTAGCTGGCTGGTCCCTGCGCGGCCTCTTCCATTGCATGCACAAATAGTGCGCGACGTAGCAATCGCTTGCCAGACGTGCGCAGAATGTTGCCAAACCATCTCAACTAGCGCAATAGAACAAGCTCATAGAGCGGGAGATCCGCCTTGCCCAACACGCGTTGTCTGATACCGTCACTGCGCACCCGGTGTTGCCACCATACACCGGCGTTACTCCACAGACAACTGTTGTCGAAGGCCAAAAGCCTACGCATCTCATCCCCCCAGATCGGCCAGAATTCGTATCCATATAAAGCGTCGCACGAACACCACAGGTTTCGTAAACCCTGCTTTTTAACAAATGCGCGATGTCGCAACGATGCCACAATTATTCCAAATTGGCGAAGACCAAGCAGACTTTAGAGATACAGAGTAACATCTCCGATAGTTCCGTCGGTATAGACACTCTTCCCGAAGTAAACAAAGCTATCTATCTGATTAAGCCGAATATTTTCGTTGGCGAGCTGAGGGGGAGCATTCTGCCAATCCTGGGCCAACACTTTGATGGGGCAAATCACATACCAAACCTGATAAAAATATCCTATTGCGTGATTAAAAGTCGATACAAGCGAACATATGTTTTCAATAATTCTTCATCAGGCTTGTACAATTATATGTGGAAAAAACTGGTAAACATAACGTTGTGGTCGGTAAATTTCGATCTTTTCACCATCACTGATCAAGCATAATCGCTTTCCGTTAGGTCACAACTGCAGTGTGCACGCCAATCCGTGGGCCAGACGTCACCTTTCGAGTGGGTCAAAGCAGTCTTAACGTCTGAGCGAACCGTTTCTGAACGCATGATTGCGGCTCGTGTAGACGAATCGCGATAGCCTCAGCGGATTCTAGTAAACGCCTACAGACGCACTTTGATCGATTGTCCGGTGCCTGGTAGATCACTTTGAATGACTTAGTTAACTTAGTTTCATCGCGTGTCAGCAAGATGTGTGGTTATGGCTGAGTTGGTTGGTTTCCGACAATTAGTGCTGTCAATAGTCCTTTTGTTTGTTTGAACTTCCTGTGGCTCCGAATTCCCGCAGCAACAAGTTGATTCCCTATCTGTTGTCGCCATCTATGGCAATTGAAAAGTGATAGCCACTGAGATACACTTTGGTTGTTGCTACTGTTTTTGGGTATGGCAACTAGACAAATGGCGTAAACGATAGCACTTGTTCTAATGTCTAATCTTTTTATTCTGGACTGTTAATATGTCCGCAGCTTTTTCGTCTTGTTCTACAATCATTCTCTTTCCTCTAGATCGGAGCCAAATTCACTGGCATCGACATAGCACCAGATGAATACGAGCCGGTTCAGGCGGATCTCGGGTATGAGGCCAAGCGCGATCGTTGGAATGGGTACGATCCATCGGAGCACAAGAAACTTTTATTGGAATATCAAAGGCTAGAAGAAGCGAGAAAGTTGGCGAAGGCGAAGAAACTTGAGGAGAAGCTGGCAAAGGCAGCTGAGAGCAATGATGGGCAGGTGAATTTAGCATTCTGCTCATTTGACTTGTTCTACTTCTCAGACTTATGTTATTGAGGAAATGTTACCTGGATCCCCACTAGGTATGAATAAATAAGAGTATATTTCCCGATTGTGTCCTATGCTGAGGCTGATGTTGCACTCATGATGCTTCTTCACCGCAGTTGGGCTAAACCAACTTACACTTAAACTAGGTCTTTTTAATGTGGATAAAATCCATTACTTTTTATTTTGTTTATTCTGCGTACTTGATAATCTTCTCCCGACTTGCACACGTCGCTCATGCAAATTGTGGTAAACTTGCGTAATTGTATCGCGTGGTATTTTTTTCAAATAACTCGGACATTTTGTACTTATCACGGATTCACTTATAACCAATTTCTTCTATATGCTCATTTAGCGAGTATTTATGTCGTCATATGCGTTTACTTTAATCGATATCGGCATTTCGAATGGTTGGCTGTTGTTTTACATCCCAGCTGTGACTGCGCTTGATGTGCATGTTGACAAGGTGCCTACCTGTATATCACCCACTACCTCGTCCATACTGGCTCCAGGAGACAGTTGGTCGTTACTGGAGGGGACGGGGTGCACGGTCCTTGTGGTCGTGCTAGGCTCGAAAAGTGGTTCCATGCACTCAGTGTGGAGCGGACTACGGTCCAGCTACTGCCTTGTGTGTGTTTGATTCCCCAAATACAGCGTGCTTGTGTTTGCCTGTGAAGGAGTGTGGGCCGGCACCATTGATGAAACGTGGCACCCATCCACATGCCTCCCGGTATTATTTCTTTGGGTTTACACTGGATATGGGGTGTGTGGATGGAGCTGTGGGTGGTGCAGCGCAAGCCATCCATGATCCCTCTGTAGGCGCAGGCGTCCTGTGGCTGGCCACAGTGACAGGCAAATCCGAAACCGGATGCCGCCAACCATATTTCTCGACGGGCTGAATATGTTCCCTTTTAGGGAACGATTATTTATTCGGCGAGTTTCATCAACATTTCATTTATGTACTGCATTCAATATGGAACAGTAATGCAGTGTTTAATGGAGTAATAGTAATAATGTATATTTTATCCTGTTTACGACGCCTACCCTTTTCGGCATGATCAAATTTTTACCATCGTTTCGCATACTATTTACAGACAGAAATAAAAATCATCTTCTTAACCTCCATCGTTATCCAGTTCAAAGCCTTGAACGGGCACGGAATAATTCATGGTGTCCTTACGGGAAGCTCCGTGTACGGACGGAACCAAGTTTTCTTTCCCTTGGGTAAACGATAAAGAGCAATTATGTGGTGCTAAGAGAAACATTAAGGCTAAAATCATACTTATTGTACATAGTATCTAGTTTACGGTAAATTTTATCTACACATTGTGGCGTTCTAAAAAAGGGTAGTGTAAGACGGAGGTATTTACTCATTTTCAATTCAGCGGCTGTACATATTAGACTGATCCAGATAGAAGGGGAGATATTTACGTTGTGTGTGAGGCAAACGTAGTTGACATTTGTCAACTGGCTCAGGCGTTTTCGTCTGATTGTGCGCTAGGTGTATGCCAATGAGGAAAAATGAAGAGTAATATTGGAAATGGGGATGAAGATGTTGGAAGCAGAATCGGTTAGCTTCACTTTGCTGCCTGACATGCTTACATGTGAGAAACATGGTAAGCCTAGCCGAATAAGAGAAGATCGAATGGTAAATGTAAAGGAAGATTGATGGATTCAGTCAACGTTTTTCTCTCAATTCATAACTTTTCAATGTGGCTTTAAGATAGGCGTGGCTGAGTAAACAGTACATGAAGGGTGGAGGAAAAATGGTAATCTCAATCTCGGTTTGCACTTTCTGTGCAATCCACACTTTTTGGTGTGTTTGTGAGGTATGCTTTCACGAGTAAAGAAGGAAAGACGGTCGGGTAAAGAAGTGTGAAGGGGGTTCTATCAACTTTTCATAATTTTTTTCAATTCACTTCTTCAGAAGGGCCTGGTCAAATAAATACACCGTAGATAGCACATTTTCTGTATTTTTGTAACCACTACACTTACGTCTCGGCCCTTTCCCCAAATAGCATTTTTTCAGTGCGATTTAGTTGCAACATTGTTTTCACAGTCTTGCAGTTTAAAAGTGCTCTTTTAAACACTGGTTGCGATTCCCTGCTCTTGTTTCAATAGAGTCACTGTTCCACATCTCAGTGTATCTGTTTAGGTAGAATTTTCTTCGAACATTAGTTTTCGTTTTGAACATCGGGAGTGTGTTCTTGGTATTCCTAATTACGTATCTACCTTCTTGTTTGAAATGAATAGTGATATTTGGTGCGAATACACGCTCATGAACCAAGTCACATAGGAATGTGAATCCTAGCTTCATGCGTCCTAACCAGTGGCTCCAGTTGTAGCATCTTGGACGATAAGTTAAAGAGAATTTTTGTGAATGATCGCTGCACGCTTTCTAGGCAAACGAAGTCGCACTTCTTGCCGCTTGCAAAAATAGTCGAGCAGTACTCTAGCGCAGGGCGTATGCATGCCTTAAACAAAGGCAGTTTAAGTTCACATATCTGGAGTGATTTTGGATGAGTTTTACCCTTCTTCGTCATCTGGCCGTTATGAATTCAACTTGCTCACCAAACTTCAGAGTGTTAGACTACCGGAGTCCTAGCTCAAGTGTAGCTTTATTACAGGGAATAGGTTTACCAGCAAGATAAAGTACATTTGGCGGAAGTTCACACTTACATGTCGACATACTGCAGTTGTACACTGGGAATGACATTTGCAAATGGGCACGCCACGACTACAAGGTCAGTAGGTTTATGCGATTGTTTTCCAACGTATCACTGAAACGCCGGATATCGTAGACGTGTACTACTCTTATGTCATCCGCAGGTATGTCTGATATCCCACATTCTATTACTTCAGGTATATCACTGACATACATTAGGAAGAGCAAGGGACGAAACACACTATCTTTTATCACACTTCTTTTGATCTTAAGTGGTGAAGACTTAATATGCCCTCTTTGTACTTGTTACGTGCGATCAGAGAGGTAAGATTTGAACCATACGTGCAAAGGTTCAGGGATCCGGAAATTTGTTAACTTCTCCAAATAGCTGTTGTGTGGCACTCTGTCAAAAGCCTTTTGCATATTAATAAAGATGATGATAGCCCCTTTGCCATTGCCAGTGGCGCTTTTCAGATTGTTTAGAAAGGCTGGCTGACAAGTCTGACATTAGCGCCTATGCAGAAACCCATGTTGAGCTGGGTTTATCAAATTTAATGACAGCAGGTGCATAGTCGTTTTCTCTTTCACAGTTCTTTCCATTATTTTCGAAATAATCGGAGTGTGGCTAATTGGACGGTAATTTTTTATGTCCAGTTTTGAACCATTCTTATGTCTAGGTTCTATAATAGAGAGTTTCCATTGATTCGGGAATATACCCGAATTCATAGATAGGGTAAACACGTTTAGAAGCATGAGCGATATGTCCCGGCCACCAAACTTTATTAGAGAAGTTGACGAAAAATCAAGTCCAGGATTAGTCTAAGACCGTAGCCCAACAATGTGAGCCTGAATGACATCCCAATTGTGATGCACTGTGCTCAATTTGCCAACATCAGTTACATTATTGGAAAGCTAGTTTTGTCATATGTTTTTCGGGCCGGATTCCATGACTGCACACGTATATTGCTGAATGCCGAAAAGCTTTACTACATTTGGCTTGGAAAGAAACCCTTTTAACTGTGATCTAAATATGAACAAGCTCGCTGGTCTTTACTTGCAACGGTGGTTTATTCCACAGATGGGCATACCTCACCAAGAACATATTTAAGCGGATATTTTGCTTGGTCCTCCGTAAGAATAGTAGACATTTCTCATTACGGGTGGAATAGGTTAAGCCATCTTTTTAAGGCGACATCCGTACTAGTTGAGAAGACGCCCGAATATATTATACTGCTGAGAAGAGTGAGACTGATTTTCATTCGTCCATGCCACACTGGGTCAAGCTGGTGGTAAGAACATGATTTCTCATAGGTAAGCCATGATGAGCGCCCCATGAGCATTTTGGTAAATGAGCGCTGGACGTTTTCCAAAGCACTTCTCTCTGTTTTGCGTAGGTGGCTATGTGTGATGGTGCATTACACTAGAGTGGGTCACACTATGAGTTTGAATGATTCAAGCCGTGTTTGGGATAGTGAAAATGACCTAGTGATGTAGTTTGTTAGTTGCTTCGCCTTCGCTACTTAATGTAGGATGTGTTCGAAGAACTTGAAGCTGCTAGAGTATCGAATTCCCAGGTCTCGAACGGAATACGCAGCGGGGATGGGGATACCAGTAAGAGTAACACATCCTTCTGGTATACTGCATCTGTGGCAGAGTATCTGAGATTTATCTGTTGGATCCTCATAGACCTGCTTTCGTCTATTTATTTAGGAATAATGTGTCTTCGCGTATATTTTCCACGCACAGTTCCAGTTGGTCAGGTAGAAATGAATACACTGGTTTGATGTCGTCTGCAACTAAAAATCAGCGCCTGTGGGTAATAAAATCACATATATCGTTTATGCAACTAAGGCAAAGCAATGGACCTAATACACTGCCCTGAACGACACCATTGGTGACATTTCTTTGAGCAGAATAGTGTTGACTTTTCTGTACTCTTTGTGCTCGGTCGTTCAGGTATAAGTCAAACCAGCTCGATAGAGGATTAGTAATTCCATAAAACTCAGACACTGAAAACAATGGCTTGTGCGATATGCAGTTAAGCGCTTTTGTGTATCCAGAATGATGATGATGATGGCCATGTCCCCAACGATTGTCGCTGCAAAATTATCAGTGACTTGTAATTGGCATGTGACACAGGAACGTTCTGTAGTAAACCCATGTTGGGAACTGCTGATTAGGTATTATCCTGTCAAGAACTAAGTTACCCGATTCTTGAAGATTCTTTATGAAGTCTTAGCAACGCTTGAAGTATGGTTTATCGGCAGATAGTTTGACATCCGATCTCTTG